AAGATGGCGGCCCCCATATAGTAAATATCGTATTTATTTTATTATCACGTGTGCGCCAGCTGACTGTGACCTGTAAAATAGGGTGATATGCCCATGTAAGCACCGCGTATTGAAGTGTCAAAAATAAGGTGGTTAGTGAAAATTAAAGGAATACACAATAAGTTTTGTTGGTACTTTCCGTATTTTTTGGTCAACGCATTACACTCACTATCTCTATCAACATTTTATTTATACTTAATTACATAGCATGCATACTGTATTGTGAATACATTTCAAAACCAAAACCAAAACTAGATCATTGTATTACTAGTTGAATTACCGCTTTTAAAACAACTAGCATTACATCGACGAGTATTACACTTCCCTAATCATACTTTAAATGAAGCTGAAGTGAATGTCTGTCGTTGACGTAAACCCCTAATTAGTAGTCACAGCTGTAAGAAAAAAATCATAGAATTATTACGCTTGCCATATATTCATAAATCGTAATGTGAACACATAATAGCTATGTATCACATGTGAAATACAGCATCCACTTGTCTCACTTCCGTACTCATTCTATCACTCATACTCGCCCACCCACCCACCCACACTTACTCACTTTATCACTCACACACTAACTCAATCACTAGACTAATTTAAATATTACTATTGAATTTCCTAGATAGTCTATGCAGAGAACCAAGATTGACATTCAGGAAACTACAAAATTACGAGAGTAATACACACCTTCCTGGCACCGTCCAAGTGTCGCCTAGTTCATATATATCGGGTCTAAATAATATTTCACCATTAGGTCTCATGAAATCATCATCTGGATTTCCATTATAATTTCCAAGTAATCCACACACGTTGCCATGCATCGCAGGGTCCTTCAGTTCAATATGTACCGCTCTTATGGATTTGGTCCATATTAAGGAAATGCGAGGTGATTGTATCTCAACATACAAGTGCTCATCTTTGATCTCCACTTTTCCATTTCCATTTTCCAATAAAGCCGATGCGTTGGTGAACAGCTCTCCACCAATCTGTCAGTCAAATTTCATGACAAGGGTATACTTTTAATGTCAGTAATTATAAAATTGCACCAAAACCTTGCATGATATATTCGTAGTGTATCTTTTACAAAGCTATGGAATTTCTGGTGTCTTGGATTCATTTACTGGGACAATTTGTCCTTATGCCATGTTATGTATGTCTATATACTATTTAATATGCTAATTATGTTTGAAGATCCTTAAAATAAGAATAGTAAGATTATTGCAAATGATATATGTAACAGCCTATGTGTTATCAATCGAGATTTCCCTTTAGTTTGGAAATTCCATTATTTAAGGCAAATTCCATGCTCATAAATAATTTATTAGGTGGGTATAAACGACTTGTAAGAAAACATTCATATAATTCTCTAAGATTTAAATCATGATACAAGGTAATGTACATAGTATTTATTATGAGTAAGTGATAAGAAGACACGTAGCTAATATTAGAATATTAATTACATAATTAACATTTGTTTTTTGGGGGATTATTTTAAATTACATCCACAATTACAAAATTTGCATATTTGGGCAAACACTTGCCTGATATTTTTGTTGTTAACACTTATTTTATAGCGCGTTTCAAATACATTAAATTTAATAATTTGACAAAAATGTTATACTCAACCAGGAAATGATTGTCCTTCATTATCCGCAGCAACTGCTTTCCTCCAATGTGAATGTTAACCGCTTCGACTCGTGTTAATGGCTTTTCTCGTAGTTCGGAATATTTCCCACGAAAGTCAGCAGTGATTTTAAAAGATGGGTTTGTCATACTGGTACAATCTTGAGTAAGTACATATGTACATAGACCTTGGAAGTTAAACTTCACTCCATCGAATGTAGTGAAGTGGGGATCTTTTTCGACGCCAGAACCTAATAATTGAGTCACATTTATGGTTGGAAATTTCATAAATGTATTACAAGTAAATTTAAAATTATATCACGTGCATACGACACATAACACAAATGAAGTGTTTAAATACAAATAAATCAACGATTAATTTCAATAAATGGTTACATAATAGTATGACTCAAGTGCCATAATGTACGCGTTTTCGCTACCGTTCTATTAGACTGGCAAAGTCGGGACTTCTTTTTTGTTTTACAAAAAGAAATAATTAATTGTTCTTTTAGTCCTTTCAGCGTGATCGCGAAAACTAACCTAATGGCTAAAGAAATCCCTACTGGACGCATCTGCGGGCATTTGACTGATATTAATTATTCATGATTTTATTGATAATTCACGAACGTAAACATGACCTTTTAAAGATTGATTCCATTCGATCGTAGAGATGGATACTTTAACATTATAATGAGGGCGATACTTTCATCCATGTTTACTGAAAACAAGTCGATTTAAGGTAGAGATGCAGGTTCGTGAGCACTTGGGAGTGATTTTTTTTGCTTTTTATTGTCAAAACAGTCTTTGCTATAGACTGTTAACATTTTGTAGAATTGTGAATAATTGTAAAAAAACGATTTTAAAATATAGATAAAAGGTGAAAACATTATCTCTTTTGAATGCTCAGCAAGATTTAGCAAGGCTGTACATAAATAAAAAAGAAACATGGTGAAAAAAATAAATGACGGGATCTCCATATTATGCACTATATTTAAATTTTAACAAAACGATAATACATTTAAATTTGGAACTGTTACAGCCATTTTAATTATGAGCATTAGCAAACTTCTTACTGAGTGAATTGTTATGCAAATTAGCAATTATCTCAGCTTCTTTTTAGTGCACATCCCAGAACTTTAAAAAAAATAGCTCATAGACGCTTTGACCTTTTGTTTTGAAATTTTCACTGTGACAATGTGTTTATCTTCAAAACGCCGTCGGAGCATTGTTTTCTGGTTGAACATTGTCACAACAATCGTACAGACAACTTGAATTAGTGAAATTTGAGCTGCTGCCCTGCAAAATTGGTAGACAGTTTTCAAGACGACACTTTCTTCATATTAAACAGATGTACCCATAAACCAATTTTGACAGGAAACAGAAGCATGGTCTAGAAGCTGATTTTTTTAATCACTTTTGACCAAAAAAGCACATTTTTGTGCATATTTCAAACTACAGTGTCCATAGAAAAAAAATACTAACAACATTTTAAAATTCATACAATAAGCTTTCCGATGATATAGTTTTGTGGACAAGGGAGGTCATCTTGGTTTCCTAATTAACTAATTAAAATACCTGTCAGGTAAACTGTATCTCTACGTTGAATGTCCAATGAATGTAAGTAGTCTTTCAAAATCGCCGAGACCTCAGAAGTGAAAGGTCACCATCATTAACATAAATAAGATATGACGTATGCAGCTGCACTCTGATTCGTTGTCAATGCTAGTCAACTGATTTTAATTAGCATAATCACCGGAGTGATCCCGTTCCGGTTTTCAATCCAATACCGGTCGTTGTAGATGCATCCAGTCGGGATTTTTTTCGCAGTCACGCTAGTTTTCGCGATCACGTTAAAAAGGCTAAATTAACAATTAATTATATTTTTGTTTTTAAACAAAAAAGTCCCGTCGTATATGTGTGTTACTATGCAGTTGTATGTTACTATGCAATTTCCATTGATCTAGACCGTATTATGTTATGTTACAAATATAGCCATGCTCTAGCCACTCACATAACGTAC